ATGCCAGGGACCGCAGGGCAGGGGGGGCGGTTTCAGTCTAACCCTCCAGCCCTGACAAGTCCGAGTTCTTATTCTCTTTCTGGAAAGGAAGCAAGCTCAGAAAGGTTAACTTGGACGCACCCCAAAGCCCTGGCTCTTCTCCCGAATGTAGCTGGGGAGAAGAGAGGGTGAGGGACATGAGCTGAGCTCCAGGCAGAAGATACCCCAACCTGTGCCCGCCCCCGGAAGCAGCCTTCCCTCGAGCCTGGGCAAACCGGGGAGAAAAGGCGAGGTGGGGGTTCACTCACCCTGCCCAGCAGCAACATGGCAAGACAGGAGCTGAAGGACAAGGGGCAGCAGGCAGAGCATCATGGTCACCAGTCTTGACATTGGAGCTCGGAGGGCAGCGCACCTGCCATTCACCCTCTCAGGAATGCGCAAAATGAGTGTCAGCCAAAGAACCCCAGTAATAAATGGGCCCCAGAGCCCTTTGATCCCTGAGACACTGGAAAGCTGAGGCCAGCCCACCTGAGTCAGTGTGTGAGCTTCTATCCTGACTGGGGGTGCGGATTTTATCTCAGGCCAAAGGGCAGAGGGAGGGGAGCCCCTCCCTTGCCAGGCAGCACGCAGGTACACAGGCCACCAGGTAGAGGGGCAGGCACAGGGCCCTGAAGCAGCCTGGGAGAACTGAGAAGACCCTTGGAGGGAGGTTCCCACCCTTGGAGAAGAGGCTGGGCCTGAACCTGAAAGGAGAAGGGTGCCCGTCATTCCCCTCCAGCCCCCTGGTAAGGTGACCCCCCCCTCTTCTTCTCGAGCTCTCATTACTGACCCTGATGACCCCACCAGGACATGGGGTGCAAGTCATGGCCACACCTAGGCCAGTGCCCAGCTCCAGGATGGCTGCATTCTTGGATCTGTGGGCCCTGAGATCTATCTGTGAGCTCCCAGGTGAGCACAAGTTTCCACGGCCGTGCAGAGTGACCTTGCCCTACCCCAAGGTCAACAGAGCCAAGTCCTCACTCCTTTCCTTGCCTTTTGTGGGCTCCCACCCATCACTCCCTGGGCCTGAGGCCCCCAAGGTCTGACCCCAGGCTCGTCTGCCACAGTGACCTCAGGCAGAGGTGGGCCCGATTCTGCCCTGGCCTAGACAGGCGAGGAGCTCTGTGCTCCAGGTTCTACATGTGGTCACAAGAAGGGGCTGAGAGTGCTGGGTGTCCCATGTCCAGATTTGGCATCTAATCTTGGGAGGAGTGCTGTCCCCAAGAAGGGCTTCCTGAGCTTCAGGCCCCTGCAGGGGAGGGAAAGAAACCACTCACAGCTCTCTACTTTAAGCCTAGCTCTTTTATTGGGGGGAGGGGGAATTCCAGAGTGGGGCGTCTCTGGAGCAAACAATGATGTCAGGATGTCTGGGCAGCCCTTGGGCTCCTGGACAGAGTGTGAGAAAGCAGAGGGGGGCTCACAGCAGGGCCCAGACCAAGCCCACCAGCTCTGAGTCGGGCCACCTCAGGCCCCGATGTCAGTTTCCTTTGGACCAACAGGGGAGGTGGGGAGTAGTGCTGTCGTGGGCTCTATCTGCTGTCTTGTCCAAATCTGGATGAGCGGTGGGAGCCTCTTGTCTCACTCACTGAGCAGTTGTCAGGACCCTGGGCCTCTGGATGTGGAGCTGGGGGCGGGAGAGAGGAGGTGAGGCCCAGGAGGCTCCAATGGAAGTTACCTGCCTCTAGACCAAGGGTGCCCACCACCCCCCAGGCAGCCCAGGGTGGTGGATGGCAGGGCTGGGGGGAATGGAACAGCTACTAGCTGGGGACAGACCCCTGAGTCACCTCTGTAGTAGGGTCAACGTTCTCCAGAGAGGGCTGGAAATGGCTGTAGATGTTTTCAAGGGCGAATCTGTCTTCCTTCAGATTCTCATCTGCAGAAAAAGGGGCCGGGCTGAGAGTGAGCCTGGGGGGCTGGCCCCATGTGACAGGAAGACAAGAGAGAAACACAGCCCCCTGACACGCCTAGGGTCAAAAGTCATGGCCACGGGCAGGCTCAGGGGTGACCTGGGCGAGGGTGGAACAGGAGGAAGGCCCTGCTCGAGGGTCACCGGCACACACTGCCTCACGGCCACGGGAACCACAGCAAGCAGAAACCAGCAGTGCCCAGAATCTTCTCTTGGAGTGGGCTTTCAGCCGCCATTTTCCCAGTCCTGCACATCCCCCACTCCTCGGCCTCCAAGCCGCAGGCTCCAGGCTCTCCACGACCATTTCTTCTTTCTGCCTCCTTCAAGGTCATCCCAGGGACCCTGCCCTTCACTCCGCTCTTTTCCGCACCTGTATTCTTCCTGCCGCCTCCCAGCCGCCCACTGGCCAAGACTTCTCCCCAGGCTTCAGATAGGCCAGAGCTGGTGATGCCTCTGTACCCCTATTCACCAGCCCCTGTACTCAGTGTGCCCCCACCTGCTGCCTCTGCCCCGACAAGGCAGTGTCCCTCCCCCCATCCAGGCCTTCTCCCTTCCCCAGCCTGTGAGCAACAAGCCTGGCCCAGCTCACTGGCATCTAAATTACTTCTGCTATCCACTCCTCCCATCCCCCTGTCCCCACCCAGCCTCATCATCCTTCACCTACATTACAGCAGAGCCATCCCCTTGGTCTCCCCACTTTAGGGCTGCCCCCCTCAATTCACCCTGAGTGAGCTGCTCGAAATGCATGTCTGGCTCCCTGCCCTTAAAGCCTCTCCAGTGGGTCCCTCCATCACGGCCCACAGAGATCTCCACGACCTCACTGGTATCTGTGTTCCTGGAAGCAGGAAGCACACGGCTTATGCACCAGCCCACAGCACTGCCTGGCCTGCAGACTGGCTCAGGTGAGGGTGCTTCTGCAGTCTTCTGATCCCGCCCTGCCCTGGCCGGACTGGGCAGATTTCTGTGCCCATGGAGCCCTCGGCATGGCCCTGTCCTCCCACCAACTGTGAGTACATCTGAGACTCTCACAGGGGGTGGTCTCTGGGGGCAGGATCCGGCTGCTCTCCGCCACCTGTAGCCCCTTCCCATTGTTTGTCTGGAGAAACTGGGAGGGCAGGACTTGCCCAGGGGCAGGGATGGTGGTGGCTAGAGATTCTTCATCTCCCTGCACCACGGGACATGGTGGCTTGTGGGACATGGTGGCTTTCCACGGCAACTGGGAATCAGAAGAGCCCGAACACACGGGATGCTCCATGGAGAGGCAGTGTTTGAACCAGAGTGGGAGACAGAGTGGGATTGGGACTTGCAGAGCCCCCAGCAAGGGGAACCTTCCAGACAGAGGTGCAGTACTTGCAAAGGCATGGGGGAGGGAAAGGGTGGGCATGGGGAGGAGCAGAGAAAAGACGAGGGTCGGCAAGGACCACGTGGGGGCTCAGGGGTCAGGAGGCTGCAGAGAAACTGGCCTAGCCCAGGGGCGCAGCACCTGTAAAACCAGCTGGCAAGACCCACGCAGCCCCCACAGCCACATCGTGTCTGGCTGTGATGCCTTCTCGGCCTATCTCCACCCACCAGCTTTGCCCCCACCCTTGCCTCTGGTGAGAAGTACCTTCCCAGATGCCTGTGTTCTGGAAGCCGCCAGGAAGATCTTCTCCTTGCCACAAATTGTATTCTTGCCTGCCAACAGAAACACCCTGAGCAGCTGGCAGCAGGGAGGTGGAGGGAGCTTAGAGGGCCCTGACCTTTGGCTTCTGGAAAGGGCTGTCACTGCCAAGCCCTGGGTCAGGGAGGGGCCTGCCCCCAGGGTGGTGGCAGAAAACAAAACATCTCCAAGGCCTGCCCTTCCCCTTCCTCCCTTCCACAGGAGTTCCATTATCGGTGAGATGGGAGCAATGGACCAGAATCAGAGGAACCCCCCTCTGGCTGCTGGAGGTGCTCTGCCCTGTGCTTCTCAACCATCTCAGGGTTGATTCCCCCCCCCCCATTTTACTGCTGGGAAAGCAATGCTGGAGAGCTCATCCCCAGGGGTGCCTGTGGCAGCCAAAGTGATAACACCAGGTAATGTCATCACATAATCCAATTTCAGGACACAAGTGTTTGGTCGCATCTCTCTGCCAAACAGATCAGATCAGCGGGCTGCCCTGTGCTGTTAACCAGAACTGAGTTGGGCTGGGTCCCCAGCAGACTTCCAAACGCTGAAGGGAAGGAGGAGAGCCTTGGGGTCTTGTGGCCCCCTTTCCCTGGGCCCGAATCCATAAGCTCACCTGTGCAGTTTTCTCTGGGATCGGCCAAGGAAGACAGTCAGGATCACCACCATGACCACCAGCAGTGCTCCCACGGCCCCCACACTCCCGTACACCAGGCTCTTGCTGGTGCTCAATGCACACGTCTCTCCCCAGTACCAGTGTGTGTCCGAGGTTGGGCATCTGGAGACACACACAAGCTCAGGCCAGTCCACCAACATCCCTCACACCCAATCTTGCAAAAGAAAAAAATCAATGCCAAAGCACAGGAAGCCGGCTCTCCCTCCAAGGAAGGGTAGGCACTGGTTAGGAGGGACCCAGGTTAGGAGGCTCCCCAAGACTAAGGGGCAGAGAGGAGGTGGGGATTCAGTATTGCAGAACAGGATTCAGAATCTGAGTGTCAGATGCCTTGTCCCAGACACATGGTGCCCACTCATCTAATCTCTAGCTGGCACCTTGACTGACCTGTTACCATTTTTATATTTTATGCTTTAATGTATGCTCTCCTGAGCTTAATGCCCCAGCTATATATAGCTAGGAGTGATATAATGGCACTGTAGCTGGGATATTGAAAGGAAAGTGAAAGATAGAGATCTATGGATATAGATTTGGGAATTGGTGACTAGAACTTTCTCAGGAGGGGGCTTGCTCACTCCTAGAATGCCCACATCTATAACCTGCACCTCCCCCACCTCTGGTGGGGGTGGGGGGGGTGAAGGGACACCTGGGTAGAAGAAAGAGGGATGGGTGGGGAAGGACGTGTCTTGTCAGCTGTGCCCAACTCCTTCTGCATCCCCCCCTACCCTGACCCCTGCCCCATAACTATGGTGGAGGGTGTGGTCCTACCACTAGAGAGAGTGGGCACTGGCCTTAGAGGGGCTGGACACTCACAGGCAGCGGGGGCCACTGCGTTGCAGCTGGCATTCTCCCTCATTACAGTTCAGTTGCAACTTCGTCCCCGAGGTGCATTTGGTCACACAGGCCAGCTTCCCATCCAGCTCATCCACAAAGTAGAACTGGGCATAGTCCTTCGCAGCCTTCTGAGTGCATTGCTCTGGGGGGTGGGGGGTGGGGAAGGGTAGACAGCCTGGTTAAAGCGCCACCAGCCCTCATGTTTACTGCCCACACCCTGTCCCCCCAACACCTACCACTCTGCAGAGATGCTTACCCTTCAAGTCAAACCCCAGCATCACGTTCTCGCTCACGATGGTGGCTTCCTCACTGAAGCACAGATGTGAGGAGGCTGCCAAGCATGGTGGGAAAGAACAAAACAAAAACACTTCCCTCTGCCCTACTAGGGTCATGGCCCATCCCTAGATGCAGCTGGGCCTGTAAGCAGGCTCAGATGGGAACATTAGGGCTGATGACAATCTGAGCCCGCGACAGGGAGATGTTGGGGGCACTTTGGAGTCTGGGGAAATGGGGCCTGGCTTCTGGATCCCTATAGGGAGGTCTCTGGAGTTCCAGAAAGGAGGAGAGATATGGGGTGAGGGGAGGCTGAGGCATTCCTACCCTTTCCCCACCAACGTCAAGGGGTTTTAGGAGAGCCTACCTCTGCACTCTTCAGAATCACCAGATAGCCTTTTGGTCTCATTCATAATCTTGACCTTTATGAGTTTAGAGAGGTTTGCAAATAGTTCATCAAACTCTGAAGTGTAGTTTGCCTCCATGATGACGTCATGTTCCACCACAACACTGCCATTGCTAAAACCAGGAATTGGTGATTCATCAGTCACCCTATGTCGCCCACCCTCCCAGAAAGTGGGGCCCACAAAGCCAGAAGGGTGATGAAACACAATTAACTATGTGACCCAGAGGCAGGACAGACTAGAGACTGTTCCCTCCAACAGTTAGCATTCCAGAGGGAAGCTGCAGAGTAAAATGACCTAAGATTCCAAAATATCAGTGATCACAATAAATGCCATTGGGTGAAATCCATTCTTAAAACTGGAAGCTCTTGGGTGAAGACATGGTGGAATTGAACCATTGTGACTGTTGGAGGGAGGATCAAATGGTGCAGCCATTGTGGAAAATAGTATGGCAGCTCCTCAAAAAATTAAAAATGGAATTACCATATGACCCAGCAATTCCACTTCTGGGTATTTATCCTGAAAAATTGAAAGCAGGGATTTGAAGATATATTCATACACCCGTGTTTGTAGCAGCATTATTCACAATAGCTAAAAAGAAGCAAACTAAGAAGTGTCCATTGATGGGTGAATGGATAAGATGTGGCACACAGTACTATGAAATGTTTTTCAATCTTACAAAAGAAGAAATTTTTGACACCTGCTGCAACATGGATGAACCTTGAGTACATTGTGCTAAATGAAATAGCCAGTCACAAAAGGACAAATAGTGTATGAGTATTTACATGAGTACTAATATGAAGTCCCTAGAGTAATCCAATTCATAGAGACAGAAAGTAGAATGGGGGTTGCCCGAGGTGGGATGAGGGAGAATTGAGAGTTATTGTTTAAAAGGTACAGAGCTGGGTGTCTGTGTGGCTCAGTCAGTTGGACATCTGGCTCTTGATTTTGGCTCAGGTCATGATCTCATGGTTTGGTTTTGGGATGCAGCCCCAAGTCAGGCTCTGCGCTGATAGCGTAGAGCCAGCTTGGGATTCTCTCTCTTTCTCTCTCTCTCTCTCTCTCTACCCCCCTTCAAAACAAACAAACTTAAGAAAAATAAAATAAAGGGTACAGAGTTTCAGTTTGGAAAGACGGAAAAGTTCTGGAGATGGACCATGATGCTGGTTGCACAACAATGTGAATGTACTTAATGACACTAAACCATACACTTAAAATGATTAATTTAATGATTAATGGCCACCTTTTGTTATGCGCATTTCACCACAGTAAAAACTACTTAAAATTAAAAATTTTTTAAATGGAGGCTGTTGGATTTTATTTTGAAAACCAAACAAGCATGCTTTTAAAATGAAGAAACATGAGGTCACTTTAGAAATATAAGATTCCAACCCAGAAGCTCCTTGTTAGAAGGCCAACGGGGCACTGAGAGATCTTGAGACAAGGTCTGTCACCAGTCACAGACATTGTGACAGAGAAGTCAGGAGCAGGAGCCAGGAGTACTTAAAACAACAAAAACTTGTGCCAAAATGGAGACTGAAACAAACACTGGTACTGGGCAGGAGGTCAAGATGGAGTAGAGGATGCTGAGGCATGGAACCCCATGGGCATTTGACAGTATAGATCTCCCTCTTTCCTTGCTGGGAGAAGACACCTTCCAGGCTCCCTTCCCACCTTCCCTTCTGTCTCCTTCTTTCCACTTTCCTTTGGGGGCTCTGCTTCTCCTGTCTATCCCTTAGATGCTGGTGCTTCTCAAGATTCTTTCCTGGGAAATGTTCACTCCTATGCTATAATGATTCCCAGACCATCTGGTCTACTCCCAGGGCTTCCAGCAACTTCTATCCAGGAAAACCAACACCAGTGTCTCCGCTGCAGACACTTTCTATCCACCACACACTGTTCCATTACTCAACCACTCAATGTGGCTGGGTCCCAGGCACTTGAGACTCCACATAGCCCACTCTTCATCTTCTTCCCCATCCTCCTCCTCCTGACCTTCCTCATCTCATCAAAGGGCACTCTACATTGCCAGCAGCCAAGAAATCTGGTGTCATTCCTCCTCTCCAAACACCCATCAAATCCTCATGATCTGCTGGTCCTGCTTCTTAAAGATCTTTCACACTAGACAATTTTTCTTCTGCACTGTCACCTCTCTGATCCAGGCCACTCTAATCTCCATCCCCTGTCCACCCATTCTCAGTCCTACAGTCAAACTGAGCTGTCTGCAGTGCCGATCAGATATTTTCCCACGTGGGCCCAAACTGCTGATACTTAAAGACTAAGTAACTTGGTATGGGTCATCTTTCCACCTCCTCTCCCACCATGACCCTTTTGCCCTCAAGCAGTAACTATTCTTTATGTTCCTGGAATCTGCCCTCCTCTTTCTCACTTCTGGGTGAGACTGAGCCATCCTTCATCAATTGCCTTTCCCTGGCTCATTCCTCTTCATGCTTTAAGCCTCAGCTTAAAGCTGTCACTTCTTCCAGAAAGATTTCCCTCCACCTCACCCAGCTTGCATTTGAGACCTCTCCCATTGTACCCTGTGTGTCTCTTACCATTAACTCTAACCAGATCGCACAGCCATTTTGCTGTGTTCTGCCACTCTTTACTCCATGAAGACCAGGACCACTGTATTCCCTGCACCTAACACAGCGTAGGCTTTCAATACAAGTTTGCAGAATTGATGAAGGCTGAATGAATGTATAAATGAATGGCTCAGAGCCTTCTGGTGTTGCCCGTGGGCTGGGGGCCCCTCTGGTCCAGCCAGGTACTGATACTCATTCAAGACAGGAGAAGACAAGAGAGCAGAGAGAAGGGGCTTCCTGCACCCCTCACATACTCACAACAGTCTCCTAATGATCACGCCTCTGTACTGGGGAAAGTCTTTGCCCATGTAAGCTTTATCCATCTGAAAGAAATGAGGCAGCCAAGTTCATACACGAATGGGGGATGCAGCAGCCCCTGTTCCCTGTCTCAGAGGCAGCTCCAGGGCCCCCTTCCCACAGGGAACCCATGGATTAACCCATAGGAAAGAAGGAAAGGAAGGCATAAGGATGCTACCTCCTCCAGGATGTGGGTGAGGTGGTGTTCAAGGAAGGGGCTCTCAGAGTCCCTCTCAGGACTTGGGAAGACTGAAGGGATCTATGAGCTGAGAAACTCCAAAGTCAGTCAGAAGGAGCCCCTGTATCCCCAATAACATTGGACATCCACTTTAGGGGATCTGAGATTTCCCTACTCTTACCTGACTCTTGAATAGTTGAGTGAAATTCCAGTATTCTGGGGAGGATATGTTATTCAGATCTTTTGTGAAATTCTTGTTAGTCACTTTCACTGTCACACCTAAAGTGGCATTGATTATTTCTGGGATTTCTGTGGGAACAGATCAGATTATACATGAGACAGCAACCTCTCAGTAATGTCTTCTGGGATTAATCTCCTCCTGCTGGTCTCATGGAGGCAAAGAAAGTGGGTAGGCAGGTGGATGGAAATTCAAGAGACAAGTAGGAGTCACTGAAACTTTTGCCCCTTATCTCTGAACACTACAAGGAACTAGTGGCCAGGATCATGACCCAGAGAGAGAGAGCTAAGTGGAAGTCTCCAGAAAGGGTTGGAATAGAAACATCCCGATGAGAGGGGCAGATGGGCCAGTGAAAAGAGCCCGGGAGGAGGAGTCAGAAGGCCCATGCTCTACCTGCATTTAGACCCAGGCAAAGGTTAATTTTTCTCCTCTATCTGCACAATGAGGCAGTGGTAGCAGATAGTCCTTTCAATGTTACCCTCCTGTTTAAGTGGTTAAGGAATATGGGGACAATCTGAAGGTCTCAGAAAAGTTTATTACCTAGGAAGAAGGAGTCCACAAGGGACTTGCATTGGTAACCAAAGAAGCCTTGGGCACAGACACACTCTTTTCCATTCCAGATGGTCCCATTCTGGCACTGGCCTGTGAAGGGGTAGAATTCACAGCGGTCACCATGGAAGCCCAAGGGACAAAAAATACTATCTCCCATTCCAGGTCCCATCATTTAGGCATTGTACTGAAAGAGGAGGATGAGAACCACTGCCACCATCTTAAGCTCCGGGGGAGGTGGGGGGGGGGGGGGGGGGGGAGGGAAATGAGGAGGGACAATGGGGAAGATGGAAACAAGAAATGAAAGAAGATGAGCAAAGAAAGCAAGAGCCCTACAAGGAAAAAAAAGAAAAGAAAAGAAAAGAAAAGGGAAAGGAAAGGAAAGGAAAGGAAAGGAAAGGAAAGAAAAGAAAAGAAAAGAAAAGAAAAGAAAAGAAAAGAAAAGAAAAAAGAAAAGACAACATCCACCCATGTGGATGACATGCTTTGACAACAAGAAGGCCCAGGAAATATGAAACAAGACCACAACGAGGTCAAAACTGATTAGTTGATGAGAGAAGATGGACAGGAGAGGTTCACAGAGTGACGTACAAAAAGACTTACTTGGTGTCATAGCTGAAGACTGGGTCGTCATCACAGTTGTATGGGTGCTAGTGAACAGAGGATGGAGAGTTGAAGACGTACTGAACCCAAGGACTGGAGCATGGGTAGAGCCATGTGAAGTGGAGGACAGAGGAGGAGAAAAACCAGAGGAATCTGTAACGGCTGAGGAAGAGTCAGAGACTGGCCTTGAGGACAAGCTAGGAAGAGCTGAGGCTAAAGAAGAAGTATGAGAGGTAGTGGTTTGGGAGCTGTCAGATGATATTGTTGTGTTTGGTGACCCTGTGCTGCTTTGGAAAATAGTAGATCCTCCTCTGAGGGTGGTGGCTGTTGGTCTGGAGATGTCTCTAGTTGTAGAAGAGAAAGTGAGAGCTGATGGGGATGCAGGACTAGAGCTGTCTGTGGAAGAGGGGATTGAAGTAGAAATCGTTGGTTTGGCAGAATCACTGCTGGTGATGAAAAGAGTGAAATTCTCACCCAAGGTGGTGGGCATTTGTCCAGAGACTGGGGGTGAAAAGGAATGGATGGGCCTTGATGAAGATAATGCACTAAGATCTTCAGTGGTATTGGGGGCATCAGATGAATCCATTGTATTAGAGGAATAAGTGGTAGTGGTGAAGACACTCGATTCCTCAGTGATGGTTGTGATGGTAGTGGAGGACAACAAGCCAGAACCTGATGAGGGTGCAGGACCCCCACTAGGAGTGGTAGAGGAGGTGTCAACAGAAACTGTAGAACTGAACAAATCAGAAATGGTGTAGATGGTTGGCTTTTCTGTGAAAAGTGTGGTTGTTTGTCCAGAGACCAAGGTGGTAGTGGATAATTCACCGGGGCTTGGTGTGGAAGTAAAAATTCCATTGACATTGGTGGAGGAAGTAACCACTGAACCAGTGGAGTAAGACAAATCAGTTATGGTTGTGTGGACAGTGGGTGCTTCAGGAAGGGATGTGGGTGTTTGCCCAGAGACTAGAGTACTGGAAATTAATTCACCAGGACCAGATGGGGAAGAAGAACTTGCATTCTCAGTAGTATAGACGGTACCATGTGGAACTGTTGGATTTGATAAATCTGAGAGGATTGTGGAGACAGTTGATTCCATAGTAAAGGATGTGGGTGTTTCTTGATATCCACCTGTAGTGAGAAAAGTTTCACCTGAATTTGAAGTAGCAGCAGAACTTATGTTCTCGTTAGAAAGGGTGGTGTCTGAGGTTACTGTAGTTTTGGACAAATCAGGGGTGTCTGTATAGACAGTAGACCCATCACTTAGGCTTGAGGATGTCTCTTGTGAGACACCAGAGGTGGTAGAGAGTTGGCCAGGACCTGAAGAGGAACTTCCTTCAAATATGGTAAAAGAGGTTTCAGAGGAAACAGTAGATTGGGACAAATCAGAAACACTGGTGTAGACAGTTGACTCCTCTGTAAGAGTCATGGTGGTTTGTTCAGAGAGTACAGTCTGGTTAGAGAGGTCACTGGGGCTTGATGGGGAAGCAGAACTTGCTTTGTCTGTGCTATAGGAAGAGTGGGAAGAAAATGTTGGTGTTAACACCTTTGAGGTTATTGTATAGAATGTGGATCCTGGAGGAAAAGTTGTTTGTCCATCACCACCAGAGGTGGTAAAAGATTTGCCGGGGATAGATGTGGACATAGAACTTCTATCCTCTTTGGTGAAAGTGGTTGCAGATGAGTCTGTGGGTTGAGAAAAATCAAAGATTGTGCTATGCCCTGTGGATTTCAAGGGGACCATACTGGCAGTTGTTCCTGAGACAGCTAGATTAGTAGATGCCTCTCCAAGGCTCCATGGGGTAGCAGAACTCCTAGTGCCTGTGGGATGGGGGCTGTAGAAAGAAACTGTTGATTCAGATGATTCTGAAATGGTGGCATGGATTGTTGGCTCCTCTGTGAGAGTTGTAGTAGTTTGTTCAGAGATCCAAGTGGGAGTAGAGAGTTCACTGGGGATTGATGGAGAAGCAGGACTTGCATTGTCTGTGCTGTAAGAATGATAGGTAGAAAATAATGGTGTGGGCAGCTCTGAGGTGATTGTATACAAGGTGGATCCTTGAGGAAAAGATGTGCTTGAGTGTGCATCACCACCAGAAGTCGTAGAGGATTCAATGACATTTAATGAGGAAAAAGAAATACCATTGTCTTTGGTAACAACAGTCGCCAAAGTATCTGTAGATTTGGATAAATTGGGGGTGCCTGTAGAGAGAGTGGATTTCACTTTGATGCCTGTGGTTGTCTCTGCTGAGACAGTGGGGGTGGTAGACGATATGTTAGAACTTGAGGAGGATGTAGAACTTCCTTCATCGTGGACAGAGGTAGTCTCGGAGGAAATGGTTGATGTGGACATATCAGAAATGTTTGTGTAGAGAGTTCTCTCTTCTGTAAAGGAGACTGTTGTGCTTGTTGGTCCAGATGACTGACTGGATGTAGAGGATACACTAGGACCAAAAGGAGATGAAGAACTTCCCTTGCCAGTAGTCAAGAAGGTACTGAGGGAAACGGTAGGGTGTGACATATTGGAGACAGTTGTGGAGACGGCAGATTCCATAGTAAAAGACTCTGTTGTTTGTACATCACTTTGAGAACTGGTAAACGATTCACTAGAGCTCAGTGTTGATCTAGTACTTCCATCATCCTTGGTAAATATGGTTGTTAATGGATCTGTGGGTATAACGGAATCTGTGAGATAGGAAGAGTGGGTGGAAACTGTTGTTGTGGATAGCTCTGAGGAGGAGGTGGAGAAAGCGGACCCCATAACAAAGGATGTTGTTATTTGTCCGTGATCAGCATTTGTAGTAAAGGATTCAGCAGTTCTTGATGTGGAAGCAGAAAGTCCATCCTCCTTGCTAACAGTGCTGTCTGAGATAACTGTAGATTTTGATGAATGAGGGGTGCCTGTATACATGCTGGATCCCTCCATGAGGCCTGTGGTTGTCTGTACTGAGGCAGAGAGTATGCTAGAAGGCTGGGCAGGACTGGAAGGGGACACAGCACTTCCATCACCACTGGTATAGAAGGTTTCAGATGAAACGGCCGTTTCAGACAAATCAGGCATAGTTGTAAAGACAGAGGGCAATCCAGTAAAAGTTGTAGCGCCGTGTCCAGTGGTCAGGGAAGCGGTGGGAAATCCTTCATGGTCTGATGGAGTTGAAGAATCTGTACTATAGGAAGACACTGTGTATTCTGACGACTCTGAGATGCTTGTGGAGAAAGTAGACTCCATAGCTGTGGGTGAGGCTGGTGGTCCAGAACCAGGAGAGGTGGTTAAAGATTCAGTGGGACCTGACGTAGGCACACGACTTTCATCATCCTTGGTATAAGTGGTTGCTGATGAGTCTGGAGGTTGAGAAGAATCAGACACGGTGCTGTGCTCTGTGGATGGCTGGGTGACTGTAGATGCAGTCAGTCGTGAGCCAACTGGGCTGGAAGAGAATTCTCCAGGACTCGAGGGTGCTGCAGAACTGCCAAGGCCTGGGGTTCTGAGGCTGTAGGAAGAAGCTGTTGATTCAGATGAATCAGAAATGGTGTGGACAGTTGGCTTCTCTGTGAGAGTCTTGGCTGATTGTTCAGAGAGCACACTGGTGGTAAATAAATCACTAGGACTTGACTGAGAAGTAGCACTTGCCTCGTCCGTGCTGTAGGAAGAGTGAGTTGAAACTGTGGGTGCAGACACCTCTGAGGTGGTGGTGTAAGGAGGGGATCTTGGAGGTAAAGTTGTGCCTGTGTGTGGATCAACACCAGAAGTGGTAAATGATTCAGCAGGCCCAGATGTGGAAGCAGAACTTCCATCCTCCTTGGTAACTGTGCTGTCCGAGGTACTGGTAGGTTTGGACCCATTAGGTGTGTCTGTATAGACAGAAGGCCCCTCGGTCAGGCCTGTGTTTGTCTGTCCTGAAATCCCAGGGTTGGAAGACAGCAGGCCAGGACTCGAAGGGGACGTGGTCCCTTCATCATCCTGGGTGTAGGACGTTTCACCAGAAGTCGGTGTTGTTGACAAATCTGAAATGTGTGTGTAGGCAGTTGTCTCTTTAGTGAAAGGCGTGGCTGTTTGTCCAGAGACCTGAGTGCTGGTGGGTGATGGACCTGGACCCAGAGAGGATGAAGGACTTTCCTTGTCAGTGGTATGGGGGGTGTCTGGTGAAAATGTAGGATTTGATGAATCAGAGAGGGTCGAGGAGACTGTGGAAGCCACTGGAAAGAACATGGTGGTTTGGCCAAAACTACTGGAAGTAGAAAAGGCATCACTGGGACTTGAGGTGGGCTCAGGACTTCCATATTCTCTGGTAAAGGTGGTTACAGATGAGTCCGTGGGTTTAGAGGAATCAGAGATGGTGCTGTGGTCTGTGGATATCTGGGTGACACCAGTGGCGGTTGGTCCTGAGACAGCTGGGCTGATGGATGCCTCTCCAGGACTCCATGGAGCTACAGAACTCCCAGCGCCTGTGGCATGAGAAACCTCAGGTGATACTGTGGTCTCAGATGAATCTGACACAGAGGTGTGGACGGTTGTGTCACCTGTGAGAGTTGAGTCTGTTCGTTCAGTGACCATAGTAGGGGTAGAGAGCTCACTGATGCAGGATTCGGAGGCAGGACTTGCATTATCTGTGCTGTAGGATGTGTTAGTGAAAAATGTTGACGTGGATAGCTCTGATGGGGAGGTGTAGGAAGTGGACCCCCCCGCAAAGGATGTGGTTGTTTGTACATGATCATCCTTTGTAGTAAAGGATTCAGTGGTTTTTGATGTGGAAGCAGAAAGTCCATCCTCTTTAGTAACGGTTCTGTCTGAGCTAACTGCACTCTTGGACAAATCAGGGGTACCTGTGTGCAGAGTAGATCCTTCTGTGAGGCCTAAATCTGTCTATGCTGAGGCAGCAGGAGTGTGACAATCTGTTCACAATTGTCACTAATCAATCTTAGTGACAATCTGTTCCAGATAGCTGGTCAACCTATGATACTGAAGGACAACTTGTAAGAAGTATCAGGGAACCTATATATTTGGACACCTTACCAAAGGTGATCTAGAACTTTTGTCTTTTCTGGAATATACTAGTTTGTCTAGAGGGAAAGGTATCACTAGATAAAGATCTGGATGTTGATTGTGATTTATGACTTGGAGTAGTAGTTGTATGGGTGTGGATTTTGACAAATCTGTTTGCCCTCCAAAAATATGTATATTCTGCCCAAAATTGCCTACATATTCTCCCCTAAGCACTCTGGGACATGTTTATTTAGTTGGGCACTCTGGCATCAATTTGAAAGGACAGTTGTAGGCACACAAATGCCCCATGCACATTCTTTTGCTCCTCGCATTCTGTGATTTGCAAACCACATAGTCACCTTAAGTCATCTGGCTGATACTTAGTCTGACAAATCTCTTCCCCATCTCTTACATGTGAGACTCCCCCTACTCTATCCTAACAATTCTCACAGACCCAAGAAGAATAGGAGAGCTAAAGCACATTGCCATGGATAATTCACCCACTGCCTGTCCTTTCTCTCCAGACACACTTACTCAAGGGCTAGCCACTCTATCACTTTTACCTGGCCACCCTGTAGCCCAGGTGAGCCATTCCTCCTCCCTGGCCCCACAGCCCATGCAATAAACTATAGTTGTCTAATAGTAAGAGTGCTGGGAATGCCTCCTGGGACTGGAGGTCTCATTCTGACATCTCTTCGCCACTTAGAACATGTGATTACACGTGTAAGACTCTATTCTCCTACATAAAGGGGGACTATAATCCTGTCTCCTCTTTGTCCTGCCTATGAAATGAGTAGGATCAAATATGGAAGGAATCTTTGTGACAATAGTGCCATAAAGCTAGGGAGTCTTAGGAATTCTACAAGATGGTATAAGGGGACTTCCTCAAAAGGGCAGGAGAAGCAGCCTCTTGTCCCTCCTGTCAGTTCCTCCTCCCTCCCCAAAGATGCCTTGGAACTGTGCCTTTCTCACCTCTCGTGAGGATGGACCTTTGCCACTGGCAGAAATGACCATGGAAACCTTCAGGGCAGGGCCACCCTCTGCCATTCCAGATACCACATTTTCACTCCCTGTTATAGGGAGGGGCCAGGAACTGAACAAGGACTGGAATCCAGGGTAAGTGGGGAGTGGACAATTAGTCAGGTTGGGTCATTCACATCAACAGTTCTGGATCCTTGGTTTTGCAGACCATCATCTCGGGAAGAGCACTACCAAATCACTGGTGGATGAGTTCAGGTCAAAGGTGTAATAATGGCTAAGACTTTTAGAATTTGACATTAATGAGAAAGATTGAAAAGATTGCTTGGCTATTTTTAAGACAATAGATATGTTTGTTTTGCCCAATCCTCTTGCCTCCAAGTTAGACTTTGCCTAATTCAGCATGATGGGAGCAGAGGGCCTGAGCTGGGGAGGCTGCCAAGGTGGGGGGCATCCTTGAGTCATGGGTATAAGGAGGATCAGAGAGAGAGGCAGCACACAGGGGCTCTGGTCAACACACAGCAGAGTGTGGCAAGGCTCAGAGTAAACCCAGGCATGGCTATAGGACCTCAGAGCCGCTTTCTCTTTCCTCTCACCCTTCCCTTGAGCCTTGGCCACTCTGTCCTCCTGCCTCTGAGGGCACCTCATCCACTTGCCCCTCTGAAGCCCTCTTTGTATCTGACCTAGAGGCTACTGCAGTCCTCAATCTCTCTACCTTGTGTGCCCCTGGGAAAGCCGCTTCCGCTTCTCAGCTCTGCCCCACCCTTGTCCAGGCTCTCATCCAAAGAGAAGTTCCTTGTGACTGCCAGAACCATGCTGGACGCTGGGGATAGCCAGCCACTCAGCCCCCCCAAACCAGTCCTCGCTGGGGCTCCTGGCCCCCCAGGGCAATGTGGGGGTAGTGGAGGTCCACATGTAAGGGAGGTGGGAGCGACCATGGCGGGGGGTGTGAGGAGGGAGGGAACAGCCCCTATGCCTTTCTTATCAAGAAAGACTTCAAAAAGAAAGTAATATCTGGGCTGCTATTTTCCCATTCTTTAAAAGAGTTTCATGGATTTAGGCATTATAAATTTTATTGGACTCTTTAAGTTATAAAAGTAGACTGTGTTTGTTGTGACAAGTCAAACAATGAAAAGACACATAAAAGCAGTTTATGGTGGTGTCTCTAACTGAATCACAAAGAATGAATAGAGGTGGGGAGGGCTGGCATATATTGGCCGCCTATCAGAGTCCCATACTAGCCTTATCACAACTGGAACTCAGGGGTTGTGTAGGGAACTGCCTGCACAATCCACTGACCCTCATCCCTCCCCAGAGCAGAATCTCCCCAGTCACAGAGAGCACTTCTGTCCTGTTCAGCCTGACCCACAGCGGGTGTTCAATGAGCATTTCTGAAGTAAATGAGTAAATGATTACTGGAAAGTCCACTGGACCCTTCTTCCTAATGTTTTAATGTTACATAATACTATTCTGTGAGGCAGGCATTACTATTTCGATCTCAAATATTAACTAGAGTTCCAAAGGTTAAATTCTCTCCAAGCTCACCCAGCTGGCAGGATAGCATCCAAGAGAGAGAAGTGGGGCAGGGCAAAGGCTAGTAAAGCAGGGGTGAGGCCAGCTCTGGACTTGGCGGAGCAACGGTGAGTGAAGAACGCCCAGCGAAAAGGCCATGGTCCCAACTGTACCTTAGAAGAAGAGAGCCCTGGAGTGAAGGGGCAACAAGGGTAGAGGCACAGAGATTGGTGAGGCCATGGCAGGGACATGGAGGGCCACCAGGGACCCCAACTATGGCCAGGACACTCATCGAAATGGACTTCGGACATCCTGCTGTCTTTCATTTTTATTCCTGGATTCATACCGTTTACTCTATTTAGTTGCCATTCAATCTGTCCTTAAAATAGCCACATCTCTACTACAGCTGCCTCTCAGGGCACACTGATGAGCTCTGAGTGCCTGAATCCCTGTCCATCTCACCTAGCTGCCCTCCCACCTTCTGGAATCTCTCATATCCTTCAGGTTCCGAGACATCACCACACCCTTATTATCCTTCTCCTCGCTCCTCCTCTTCCTGTTCACTGTCTAAGAGGGACCCCCAAGGTATAGGCTCTGCTGCACCTCCCACCTCCTGGCGGGCAACTCCTTCAGTGCTCAAGGCTTTCACTCACTCCTGGGAGGGACAAGGACACGGTGCCCTGGCTGAAGAGCATCAGATCCCTCCCAGCCCAGGATTCTGGTGGCAATGGTGCCCCCAAAGGATGCGGCAGAGCAGGTGAAGTTGTCCTTCCCAAAGGCAACCTCCAGGGTCAGGGATGCTCCCCTAGGAAGCTGGACAAAGGAGAAGCACAGCCATTCTCCAAGGAAAGAATTTCAAATGGTCAACCAGCCTACAAGAAGAAAAAAGTAAATAAACTTCACCGGTGAGCAAAGAAATTCAAAACAAAGCAAGATGCTACTTATTTTTACCTATCAAATTGCACCCCCATTTAATTGTGATATTAAATGATAATGACAGCAGGTGTTGGGTGTCCATGGACTTCACTTGGTATTATATTTCCAAAGGAGAATTTTTTTTTTTATTTTAGAGAGTGGGGAGGAGCAGAAGAAATGAGAGAGAAAGAGAGAGAGAGAGAGAGAGA